CTGAAAAACCAAATACATTTGAACAATAAGAACCGGGGCAAAATAATGTGAAGTGTTCACATTCTAATTGGAAAAGAAGAGAAACAAGGATCCTTTAGAATCCTAATGATTTTTTTCTTTTTTTAAATTTATTTCCATATTAGCAATGTCCCCCCCCCAAAAAAAAAAACCATGAATGAACAAAGAAAAAATCAGGAAACATAAAGAAAGTGAAAAAAGTTGATTTAATCTACACTCAAAGTTCTTGAGTTCTTTCTCAGGAGGTAGATAGCATTTGTTATCATGTGTCCTTAAGAATTGTCTTGCATCATTATCTTGATTGAAGTAGCTAAATTTTTCACAATTGACCATCCTTATAATATTGCTGTTACTGTATACAATGTTTTTCTTGTTCTTTTTGCTTCACTTCGCATCGGTTCATATAAGTCTTCCCAGGTTTTTTGGAAATCATCCTGCTTTGTCATTTCTTGTAGCACAATAGTAAAATCCTAATAATTTTTCAAGAGTCACAGAGGGAATTAATAAGACAAACAGATGGACTGGGTGGTGTTTTCATAGTATTTTTTGGTATTAAGTAGTATTAAGAAAGGGGAAAAATGTGGTAGACAAAGGACTATTGGAAGAAAAAAGGAAAGGGGAATTATTTCTCACAATTGCGTTGCATTACAAACGTATACAAAAATGGAAAGAGTGTGGGGAACAGGTATCATATGAACCTCATTTTATTTGAACCAGGAAAAAGGATTTTATAAACACTGATGTGGATTCACACACAATAGGGAGAGAATAGGGCTTAAGAGGTACATCAGGAGAACAGTCACATGGAAAAAAAATTTCAGCCTTGTGAGGTGAATTATAAAGAAAGAATTTAAAATAAAAAAAGAAAAAGAGAACTAATAATTGATTGATGAGAGAGGAAGAAAGGAGAGCAAGTAGAGTAAAAGCAGATCTCTTCCATTACGTATCTCTAGTATTGATCATATTCTTTATCTTTCACCATCTTCTCTGCAAAGGGAGAATACAGAGAGGATTCAGAGAGGAGATAAGATTTGAGTTTGAGGGAAATAGAAGGAATCATTGTCACTAAAATGGGAGGATAAAACAATGTGTTAGAAAACAATCCTACAAAGTTTTTTTTACCCAAGAAATAAATTTGAAACATAAGGATTCATATACAGTTAAAATAATTTTTTTCATGTGAGCTCAAAAAAGTAGGAATAGCAGTCATGATCTTAGAAAAAGCAACATTAAAAATATAGGTAAAAGAGATAGACAGGGAAGTGTATTATGCTTAGAGGCACCATTATGTAATGAAATAATATCATTATGTATATATATTATAAATAGCATCTTAATTTTTAAAGGAAAAGTTGATTGAATTAGGAAAAGGAATAGACTACAAAATTGTGATAGATGGGGACCTTTATGTACCGTTTTTCAGACCAAGGCAAACTTAACCATAAGATAAGCAATAACAACGTTAAGAACAAGTTTCATATGCTACATCTGTCAGTTATCAAATGAGACTAGAAAAGAAAATATACATTTTTCAGCTTTGCTATATAGTTTATGAAAATTAACATGTTCTAAGTTATAAAAACCTCATAAACAAATGTGAGAAAAAAGTCATTGACAATCTTGAAACAAGTTTGCTAGATGGTGAGAGTCAGAAGCCAAAACGCCAAGGGTTATGAAATAAGAAAGGGAGCAGAATCACATAGTGTACACAACTTTTTCAAAGAATTTAGCTGAAAAGAGGATAAGAGGGATACAGGATGTTAGCAAATAGGAATGGTTAGATCAGTTGACAGTATTTCAGGGATGAGAAAGATATAAGCATATCAATTCCAGCTGTAAAATTCTGTAGCCTTATATCCCAGTGCTTGGTATATATATATACCCTCTCCACTGATAGTGAGGTGAGAAAAGAAGAAGCCCTTTTTAAAAGGTATTACAGTAACTTTTTAAAATAAATTTTCATTAATGAGTGAATGAACCAGAAAGCTCTTATTAAATGCTTATGTGCAAAGCTTAGATGATAGCTGTGGCTGCTGGGCTGGTAGTATGGGAAACACTGATCTTTGCAGAGCTCTTGATGTCAGAGTCCGAGACTTTCTTTATCAAAGTCTAAGGAAAGGTCATACTTAAGGTGGTACCAGTAAATGACTTAGCTGGACCATGGCATCTCCTTCTGTGAGCTACACTGCAGCTATGTTTACTAGGATATCCTCCCCTCTTTCACATTTCCATTATAACAAAGAATTTTTTTTTAAGAGAGGAAAAAACATTTCAGCAGAACTAACATTGTAACCTTAACATGTCATATTCCATCATATGCTAGATTTTGCCAACAAGTAGAGGAAGATGCCTTGTCATATCTCTTACTTGGGGTCAAGTTTGTCATTATAAGTTTGCATTATTCTATTTTTATTTTTTGTGTTACTGTTTTTTATCAATTAATAATTACTGAGGATACAAAAAAAAATAGGAGAAACAGTCTCTGCTCTCCACGAATTTACATTCTAATGGGGGAGATACTGTATAGAAATCAGAACCTAGCAGATAAATGCAAACTAAAAGAGGAGTCTGGGGCTAAATATTTAAGGAAGCCCGGGATTCTAAGACTTTGAGAGGAAAAGCATTCCAGGTGTGGATTAATAGCCTGTGCTGAGGCTGAGAGATAGGAGGTATAATGTCATTTGGGAAGAATGGCAAATGAATATGTGAAGGGGGCGAGTGCAGTGTAAGAAGATGGGAAAGGGAGGATGACACCAGGTTGTAAAAAGTTTTGAATGTCAAACAAAGGATTTTGAATTTGATGCTGAAGGTGATAGGGAGCCACCAGAATTTGTTGACCCAGAACATAACATGGTGGGACTTAATCTTAAGGAAAATCTCTTTGGCAGCTGTGTGAAGGATGGATTGGAATGAGGAGGGACTTGAGGCAGAGAACTGAAGGCTGTTGTACTAATCCAGACAAGAGATAATTAGGACTTGAATTAGTGTGGTGGCTGTATGAATGGAGAGAAGGGAATCTATGGGAGAGATGTTGTAGAGAAAGAAATTACAAGATTTGGCAGCTTACTGAATGCGAGGGCTAAGTTAGAGAGGAGTAGAGGATGGATTCATTTACATAGTGATACTCATTGAGTATTTTTTTCTGGTTCTGCTTATTTCACTTTGTATCAGTTCAAATAAGTTTTCTCATCCTTCTGTATTCATCATATTTTATGTTTCTTATGTCACATATTCCATTATGTTCACGTACCTGAACTTGTTTAGTCATTCCTCTATTGATAGGCACCTATTTTGTTTCCAGTTCTTTGCAACTACAAAAAACTATTGCTATAAATGTGTATGTGTATATCCTTTTTGGTTTTTAATCATTTGGGATATAGGTGTCAGTAGAATTTCTAGATCAGAAATTATGGCTGTTTTTGTTACTTTCTTCTCATAGTTCGGAATTGCTTTGATGTGATAATTTTCTAGAAATCCTTATGAATTATTAAGTTCATACTGTGTACTAAGAGCTGGGGGAGAATTAACTGATAAATAAGAAGGCTCAGTCTCTACCATCAAGGAGTTTATAGTTTTATATAATCTGACAGTAAAGATGAGATGATAGGTAATATAGAGCTTTGAGGTTTTACAAAGAACCACCCTATGAAATAAATAATACAAGTACTTGCCCCCATTTTACCCATAAGAGAAGAGGCACAAAGTGGTTATGTGACTTATTCTGGATTATACAACTAGTAAATGTCATTTACGCTGATAACTTTAGCATCTAGCCCTCTTTTCTTATCTTTTTTCTTCCTTTCCTATATTTGTTGTCATAATTTGTAAGTTCCTTGAAGACTTACACATTTATCTTTATGTCTTGTCTCCTTTATAGTACAGCATACGTACTTAATGTTCTTTGAGTGAGAGGTTTATAAGTTTGGATGGCATATTATACTGGATATGTAGTTTGTCTTTTTCTTAAAGTTGTTAGCCTCAGCACTTCATGTACAAGTTAAGTACTGCAGCTCATTTAGTCTTAAAGTTTTTTTTTCTTCGCTTTAAATTGTAGGTCTAAAGGTGATAAAGTTTATCACCTGAAGTGATTTTAATTAAGGGTGATTATGTATATGTTAATCTTTTGATTTAAATCAGTTGTTGCTTTTTTTAAAAGCACAAATCATATTTTCTTCTTTGTATTATCTCATCTGCTTAAATAGTTCCTTAGTGTTGATAGCCATCTCTGTTTTAATCTTACTGCAAATAACAGCTTTAACAGTGCTAGAAGAAAGTTTTGAGATCTATTTTTATAGTTTAAGTACTTTGGCTTAGTCTGAAAACCTAAAACTGGTTCAGCCAATGTGATATTGATGTCTTCCTAAATCAGTCTGGGTTGCAGTTCCTTGTAAAGCCTGGGAGGAATGGAAGATCCACAGAGAACTGAAAATAAATGCGAGGTTTTTATTGCTGTGTGCTTGAAAGACATAAATGGTTATGTTAGAGAGGCAGCTGAATGTAATTGTTACTAAACTTCAAGGGGGAGCTAGAAGAAATAAGGAATGGTGACAGTTTCCCTTTGGATGGGTAAGGGAGTATAGTTTAGTTCACTGAGAATAATTTGAGAATAGAAATATTAAGGGGAGGCTATCCTGAATTGTTAAACAGCAGGTTTGCTTCTCCGTATGCTTTCTTTCATTATTTTGTCTGTTATCGGTAAAGAGTAGTAGCAGACAAGATTTTTAGACAGACTAGAGAAATTGAATAATTTTCAAGCCCCTACCTGAATAAGGTGTTTATTCTGACTGGTTTATCTGACTTGATATATTATGAGGTTCTAGGACATTAACACTGCATATCGACTCAGATAATTATGAATCATTTGCATAGACTTTTTCCTTCTGAACATCTTAGTGGCACAGTGAAAAAATGTCAATTTATGGTAAAAGATAAACTTGTTTTTATAATATGTTGAAAACGTAAACGTTTTTAATCTGTTTCAGACTCCATTTACTTTTGGCTTGGGTCAGAGAGCACCATATACAACTGGAGAGCATTGTCTTCTTTGTAGAAGTGAGCGGAAAGATTCCTCACTTTCAGAGAGTGGGATTAAAAATTCTAGCAAAATGGCACTTTCAACATCTCCTAAAGCAAATAGTATGCTGCATCTTCCACTTTGGGTATGTCCAGACTGTCGAAGAACAGTTGAGAAAGAAGAGAGGCATGCTACCTTGGAACAATCTCTTATGGTGAGTGTTCCTGGGTGAATAAAGAATATTCTGGAGTATGTTTGGAAATAAATATTCCCAGCTGTTTTCTTGCTGTTTTTGTGTGTGTGTGTTATGCATAACAAATTATCCAAGAAAGTAGATTGCTACTACAATTGGCTCAGTGAGCTGAAGAATCATAATTGTTATGTAAGCAGGGTTGGGGGTGCAGTATGAGAAGCACTAAGAAGTAATTCATGAAACCAAAGGCCATAAATTGAATTATTAGAACGAAAATATTTTGTAATTCATCAAACCCTTTAAGGCACTTATTAGCGGGTAAATATCAACCATACAAAGATAGTTATAACATAAATTCATGTATTGTTGGAACTTGCAAGCTAATTGGATGGGGTGAGAAAAGATAATCATGATAAAAAGAAGAATGGGGTCAGCATGATGTACATGCATTGAGCACAGAAAAACACTTTGGATTTAGAATTGAAGGACATACTTTGTAGTTTTGAGTGTTGCTTTTACTATGCATGACCTTGAGCAAGTAACTTCACTTTGTTGGGCCCAGTTTCCTCATTTGTAAAATGAAAATTGTGAACTAAATGATCTCCTAAAGTCCCTTTCAGCCCTAAATCTGTGAACCTGTGAGAACTAATGGCAAAATGCTTAGAAAAAATTTGAGAGAGTAAGGTAGTTTCCATCTGGGGGAAGGTCAGAGAAGGAGAGGCTTCTGAGTTGGGCTGTTGAGGAAGGAAGAACTTCATCCTGTAAACATGGAACTTTAAAGGTGAGTCCATTCCATGCATGTGCAAAGGCCCAGAGGTGAATAGAGGGCAGAGTGAAAATAGAATAGCTTCCTGTTTGTAGGACCTTTGGCAAGTCACTTGACTGGACTCAGTTTCAGCATCCATAAAATGAAGGGGTTGTATTAAATGATTTTAAGGTCTCTTTGAACTCTAAATTCTTCGAACACTTCTAAACTCTTTAGGAAATGAACAGAATGGGTGAACAGAAAAATAAAGGGAGGGCGAGGTAAAAAGAATTGAGAAAAAATGGGAATAGTATATGAAGAAATGGAAGATCCACAGAGAACTGAAAATAAATGCGAGGTTTTTATTGCTGTGTGCTTGAAAGACATAAATGGTTATGTTAGAGAGGCAGCTGAATGTAATTGTAAGAGGCCTGAACTCTGGTAGTGAACTGAGGATAAGAACCCAGGTCTTCTTTCACTTGTTATATTTGTGATGTTCAAGCAAGTTACTTAATGTTTTTAAATCTCAGCATTCTGATCAGTAAAATGACAGGATTTGATTAGGTGACTACTGAACTATTTTTGGCTCAATAATGCTGTGAGTCTAAGAAAGGAGGATAGAAGTCAGCCTTAATTTACTACCTTTAAGAATTTCAACTTCATTATTTTCTTTCTTTAATGTCTCAGTATTTGGTCATTGCTTTTGTCAAGTAAGAGATTGATTTAGTATCATCTCCATTTGTGAGTTTCCATTCATTGATGGTTTTCATTTGCATTTTTTCCTTGTCCATTTATTATTTTCCTAGGTCTTTGTGTCTTTGCTCTTTACTTCCATTTTTCTATTTTAGGTTAAACCTATAAATGTTATGAGTGTTAATCCTAGTCTTTTGAAAGAGAAACCTGAACTCAATTCATGAAGACCATCAACGTGAAATAACTTTTTGACAGATAGTATTTTGATGTCTGCAAGCAGTGGGATCTGGGAGGTCGAAATTAACCAGGTTATTCTGTACTACTCCTTTCTCTATTAGAGGAAACTTGTTGATATGATTCTTGAACTAGCTATTTTTTCCTAAGCTGCTTCTGAGTTCATGCTGGGAAATACATTGACTCTTCCAAATAAAGAGAACTAGACCTTCCCTCTCCTTTCTTTCCTTCCCCCCATAAGGATAAATTGTCTGGACTCAGTAATTAGGACCTTTTTACTTATGTTCCAGTGAATATGTTACTGTTTCTAGACAACAGGGAAAAAGAAAAATAGTTATTAGCATTGGCTTGGTCCTCCTTCCACTTTCTTCTTCAGGCTTATTCTTTGATATTTTTGAGTTGGTTACTTTTATTATTTTTTTTATTTAAAAGGATTTTTAGTTTTTTACTTTTAGAGAAGCTCTTTATCTTGATACTAGCAGCTATGCTGATGTATTTCTAAAAATATTGCCTGCTATTGAGAGAGGGAAGGTTGAATGTGGGGAGCATTTACTGGCATATTTCTTGGGCTTGGAATAAGCATTGTCAGTTTAGAGAAACTTTGAGCTGAAAATTCCCTTTTTTAGTCTTAATAAGATTTTAATTGTTTGTTGTTGTTCAGTCATTTAGTGCCCAACTCTTCATGATCCCATGTACTGTAGCATGCCAGGCCCTTCTATCCTCCACCGTCTCTCAAAGTGTGTCCAAGTTCATGTTTGTTGTTTCTGTGATAACTCTGTGTCCATCTTATCCTCTTCCATCCACTTCTACTTTTGCCTTCAATCTTTCTCAGTGTCAGGGTCTTTTCTAGTGAGTCCTGTCTTCTCATTATGTGGCAAAGTGTTTAAGTTTCTGAGTCAGTATTTGACTTTCCAGTGAATAGCCTGAATTAATTTCTTTAAGAATTGACTCGTTTGACCTCGTTGAAGTCAAGGGACTCTCAGAAGGCTTCTTCAGTCCCATAGTTTGAAAGCATCAACTCTGCAGTGCTCAATTTTTCTTGTAAGTCCAACTCTCACAGTTGTATGTTGCTACTGGAAAAACCATAGCTTTGACTATGCAAACCTTTGTCAGCAAGGTGATGTCTCTGCTTTTTAGTACGCTGACCAAATTTGCCATAGCTTTTCTTACAAGGAGCAAGTATCTTTTAATTTCATGATTGCAGTTGCCCTCTGTAGTGATCTTTGAGCCCAAGAATATAAAATCTGATACTTCTTCCATCCTTCCTTTTTTTGTCAAGACATAATGGGATGGGACCAGTTGCCAGGATCGTAGGGGGTTTTTATTGTTAAGCTTTAAACCAGCTTTTACACTCTCATCTTTCATCCTCATCAAGAGGCTTCTTAATTCCTCTTCACTTTTTGCCATCAGAGGTTTTAATTATATTTATTTTTAATAGTGTCTTTGGCCTAAAGTTGTTTGTACTGAAGGAAAGACTTCTAATCTTAATGTAAATGATACTTTGGAATTATGTAACAGAATACTGCACACTCGTAGGAGCTTATATCCTAGAACACTTCCTTCTGATGAGGAAGAAGAAAGCTCCTTTTGAAGAACATAAATCCTCTCCTACCATCCTTTTAGTTTAGACAGTAGGGAACAATTATGGGAGCTCGGGTGTTTTAGGTATTGCCTATAGTTCAGCTTACTTATGACACTCTTACAACATTTTTTTTTCCCTTTTGGTGAGGCAGTCAGGGTTAAGTGACTTGCTCAGGGTCACACAGCTAGTGTCAAGTGTCTGAGGCCAGATTTGAACTCAGTTCCTCCTGACTCCAGGGCTGGTGCTCTATCCACTGTGCCACCTTGCTGCCCCCTAAAGTAGGTATTTTTAAGTGGAGGTCGACAGACCCCCTTGTAGGTCTTGGAGATGGATTTTAAGGAGTCTATGAATTTAGTTGTTGTTTTTTTTAAAATTATTTTTATAATTGTATTTCTTTATAAATTTTTTCCTTTGTAATTTGTGTATCTAATTTTATGTGTTATTCTAAGAAGAGAGTCCATAGGCTTCACCCTGCCTTTTCCAGTCTTCTTATGCCTTACATTCCCCCATGTACTCTTTGATCCAGTATCACTGACAGTGACGCTTATATTTCTCAAACAAGATATTCCACCTCCCAACTCCAGGCATTTTCACTTGGCATGTCTTACAATGCTCTTCTTCCTCATCTCTGCCTCCTGGCTTTAAGCCCCAGCTATAATTCCACTTTCAACAGGAAGCAATTTCTAACTCCTCTTAATTCTACTGCCTTGTCTCTGTTGATTATTTTCCTGCTTATCCTGTATATGGCTTATTTATGCATATTTGTGTGTATGCTATCTCCCAAATTAGATTGTGAGCTTCTTGAGGGCAGGGACTGTCTTTTGCCTTTCTTTGTACCCCAGCCTTTAGCACAGTGCCTCACACATAGTGGGTGCCTATAAAATGTTTTTTGCCTGCCTGACTGCCAGAGGGGTCCATGACACAGAAAAGATTAAGAACCCCTTCTCTAAGATAAAATCCCAAGTCCTTAAGTACATCCATATCACAGCTCTAAGTTGTTGGTACCTCAGAGATTCACCTATATCTGACCAATAGAAGAAGAAGAATTTATAAAAATTATTTATATACTTTAACTAACTTGATCCCTACACGTACTCTATGGAGTAGTTAACTACTATAACATTCTTAACATAGGATCATTGAAGGTTTGCTTGAAAATATCTAATGAAAGAGAGCACACTGTCCTGAGGGAGCCCAATCCACTTTTTGATAACTCATATAGGATGTTTCCCTTATACTTGAGCCTTTCTGCCCCTTATTGCCTACATTTTAGTGATGAAAGTTGCTCACACAGAGTGAAGGACAAATCCTTAGGACATAACATTAGCAACTCCTCTCATTTCATTATTGAGTCTAATCATTCAACCACTTCTGAATTCACCTAACTACCATCCAGGCACATTCCTCAATCTTGTCCAAAATAATAACATGAATATGTGTAGCTAAAATCCAGGTATGCTTTGTCTTTTCTAACAGCTAGCCTAGTAACCTGACCCCCAAAAAAGGAAACAATTATTCTTTTTATTTTTATTTTAATTTTAATTTTTAAAATTTTTTTTTCCATATGCTTTTGAGTTGAAAATTTTTTCTCCCCCCCCCCAAGATGGTGCACAATCTGACACAGGCTTTACATTTACATACCCATTAAACATATTTTCACATTAGTGAAGTTGTAAGTAAAAATTAAAACCAATAGGAGGAACCGTCAGAAAGATGAAACAAAACTCAGCTGAAGGTAAAAATAAGTGAGAGCAATTCGACTTCCAT